TGTCGAGAATGATGGAAGGTCTGTGAAATTCCAACGAGGCACATAAAAGATGAACAGTATCTTGACTTAAACGTCTTTGAACAGCCATTTTAGTCAACAAGGAAAATGCGAATGAACAATAAGAAGGAGGCTTGGACAACTTTGGAGAGAAAAATGCGACTATTTGGCGCCATCTTTGGGAAGTAAGCGTCTTTGTTCCTTTGAATATTCCTCATCAAAGAATTTCAGTGTCTTGCATTTCAATAACCATACTGAAAATGATTTGAAACTTGAGATGTTGATGGGTTGAACACTTTTGTTGAAACTTAGCTTACTGCTGAGAATTGTATCCATTCCTGTATAACCATCTCTAGTAGTGGCGTGAAATTTGTGTTCAACTCTAGAATTTCAGACACTAAAGGTTGAACTGTTCTCAAGCAATAGGTCTTTTCTGTTCTAGAGATCTGCATCTGAAGATAAAAACCAGGAAAGCTATGACGGACATCTATATTACTTTACTGGAATGACTTAAACTTGACCAATTTCACTTTCAAGTTATATGGCCTTGAATAGCCGTGAAGGAGTTGGACCACTCATTCGCCAACGATTGGAAATTGAAAGCAACTTGTTTATGCATAATTTTCCGTTTACGAGGCAATAAGCAAACGGATGAATAACGAATGAACGCATGAGAAGCTCGGTGAGAGATTCGGAACCGTTTCAGTTGAGGAAGTAAGAAAGTTTCTTGCATTGTACACGAACAATGGGGAATTTATTCAGCAACCCTTTAGAATTCGACTCAAAGGTGGAATGAAAAGAGCAAGTTTTTGCGTCAACATTCGAAAGCTGTGAAGGGTACAGTCTCTAGGTAATGTATCTGAAACGGTTGCTCGAAAGCCTACAACTCTTCCATTATATTCCATTGTCTTCCATCCGCAAAGAAACCACCACTAACACCACCTTCTGGCAATAGAGCTAAATAAACAGGAGTCTTGGCACCTTGTTCAGGTGATAAAGGTGCAGATGGATTTGTCATATCTGTTCTCACATAACCTATATGTGATATAGTCTTAGTATCCTTCAGAACAATATATAAACACATTACCTGGACAACAAGCATTATACAATATATTAGGACGCTTCTCTTCTCGAGCCAAAATACGTGTCATTATAGTCACGCCCATCTTACTCACGGCATCTATTCAAAACATCATACTATTATCACATGTTGGCAATTGAGGGCATTGAATACTTACAGGTTTGCTTAGGCCAACCCTTTTGTTCCCAAGTCCCTTCTTTGACACTCTGTATAAAATCATTCATCATTGCTGATAACTCTGGAATAGTCAAATCACGACGAAACATAGCATTTCGAAGTTGAGGAGAAAGACGAGAAAATTTTCCAGCTCTACTAGAAACATTCACTACACGGGCACCTTCACGTAGCAAAGGAGATAGCTTTTCGATCACGTGTAGAGTCCCAAAGTAGTTGCAATCCACAGTGTCTTTGGCAACTTCATAACCAAAGGCATCCCCACGATATGCCATACCGGCGTTGTTGACTAGTATATCCAGACCCTGGAAACGATCTTTTAACCAATTGGCAAAAGCAGAGATACTAGGCTCTTTGGTAATGTCAAGCTGATGAAATAAAACATCCAGTCCTTCAGCTGCCAAAGCTGCAACCGCTTGTTTGCCTCGTTCTTCATCACGGCTGGTTAAAACGACAGTCAAAGACAAATTGGGATCGGCTAGCTGTCTCACTATGGCATAGCCAATACCTTTGTTGGCTCCAGTCACCACTGCAACTCGAGGGGAATCTGTACTCATAGTACTACCAGACAAACCAATAACTGAGCGACCAACAAACAAAGAGAGGTTCAATTTCCGTAAATTCACCAAGTCCTTCCCAACACAAAACTTGGAAAAACCAGTAAAAGGATGAAAACCGCAACGTGGAAGCGATGACCAGCGACTCGACAATCCACCAAAGAAAATATGTGAATAGGCGATGAGTTCGTGACTGCTTACTCTAGTGAAGGGAACAACGCTGCGTGACAGCTGCCGCTATCAAGCAGAACAACCATTTTCCTCATATATACCACCGTTTCTTTCTAATATAAGTTGTCGACATAGAACGCACCTTGCTCCAATACGACTGCAAATCCACGGTTGGAAGTATGATAGTTGGGCGGAAGGAGAGTGGAAGGTAGTCTATACAAACAATGAAGGGGGATGGAGTTCAAGAAAGCTCAGAAACCGTTTGAAATATGGATTGTCTCAATTGGAGTTAGGTCATTCGCGCTTTGTTGCCTTCCGGGTTTTGTTATCAAATATTCTGGAATTTTTGTTGTTTCCTGCTCGAGCATTCCAAAGAATAGGTTACGGAGCTTTTAGAGGACTGTGCAACTCCAACAGAGTCTTGAGAGAAGCTATAGCAGGAGCTGCTGCAGAAGCTACCGCAGAAATAGTGCTATACCCTTTAGACACTTTGAAGGTGCGAATCCAGTCATATTCGAGACAGCCCTTGGAGTTTGCACAGTGGCATGTGTTCTCTTCTGCAACTGGCCGACATCTTGGGTCTCGTGGATTTTCACGTTTGATCAGCAGGAACTATATCGGGGACTTGTACAAGGGAATTGGGCAATCTGTTATAGCTGTTTTACCCACTGCAGCAATTTTTGCCATCGTATATCATAATTTAAAAAGAAGTCTTCTTGGAATATTTCCAACTCGCTGTCATCAGACACTGCGCCCCATAACAAGTCTGGTAGCTGGAGCAATAGGAACCACGCTTGCATCTCTTATGGAAGCTCCAACTGAACTTGTGAAGAGCAGGCTCCAAACAGGTATGTATCGTTCCGTTGGAGAAGCTTTTCGAACTATTTTGGTATCAGAAAATGGAGTTCGTGGACTGTATCAGGGTGCCCGCAGTAACTTGCTTCGGAATTTACCTTTTGATGCTTTGGAATTTGCATCATTTGAAACACTGAAAGACTTATACTTAAGAATGAAGAAAAAGAAACGTTTAGAGAATGAAGAAATGTGGATGTTAGGTGCTTTTGCCGGAGGTCTAGTTGGAGCATTGACAACTCCTTTCGATGTCGTATACACGAGACTAGTGACGCAACCTTCTACATACTTTAGTGTGAGTCAAACTCTGAAACTGATATACCAACAAGAAGGTGTGAAAGGCTTATTTCGGGGAATATTACCCAAAGTTGCTTGGGAAGCTGCCAATTCGGGAGTATTCTTTTTGGTTTTTGATGGTTTGATGCAAAGTTTTGACACTGTTAAGAGTCAACCTGTAGAGAATCCCGGATAGTTTATGTAGAAATGGTTGTTGGAAGAGGCAGATAGAAACACAATAATATTCTAAGCGGAAGATATATTTCCTGAAACGCGATATTCGTTATCCAACGCTTGTTTCTCGCGCAACACTACTTTCAACAATGTTTCTGAACTCTCAATTATCTAATAGCGTCAATTTGTATGTTTAGTATCACTGTCGATGTGCTGTTCTTTTCTTGTACCTTTTGATATGCACTTTCGGCTTCTTCAATGGTCTTGTCATATTCTTTCTTAGAATGAAGTTTCTTCTGCAATGTATCCTCTACTTGTTGAATTCTAACTTTCAGACGATTCACTTGGTCGATAAGCTGACTCTTTTCGCTCTCCAACTGATGGATATCTTGACTCACAGTTCTCTTCTTTTCCTTCAAAGATTCAAGTCCTTCAAAGTGTCTTCGTAAGCAATGAATTGAGATACTTCTCTTGTTTACCTTTCAGTAGTTCTCCTTGTATAACCGATAAACTTGGAGATTGTTTGGGTCGACTGGCAGACACGTTCATCATCCCACAACAGGACAAAAAAGGGAAATGCTATTGGGACAAAATAAGTACGATGGCAATCTCTAACGGTTGGTTTGGCAAAATTTATTTGTGTTCAACAACAGTATCAAACAAAACTCGAGAATCTTGCACCTCAACACTACCATTTGCAAACTGCTTGATGATGTTTCCTCCAATTA